TATGTGATTTACTAGAAGTCTCGACAACTAACTCAAAAACGGAAACTATTTAGCCAAATTTAGGCAAGCGAAGACCTTTTCTCCTATCCTTATTCTACCATCATGCCCTCTTTCTAAAAGGGTAGGCCAACTAGTGAGAAAGTAGGGAGCTCAATGAGATTTATTGAAAACGAATTTTTATTCACACACTTTTGTGTGTCTCCGGTGCTTCGGGCTCTTATTTAAGAGCTCAAGATGGTCTCGAGGCTTACTCATCTGGGAACTGGTGTGTAGCTCATTCTGTGGGGCAACACACCACAGAGATGGATCTCCTTTGTCCCACTCACAGCCTCTTGGTAGAGCCGAGCTTGCCATATTTCTCAAGTTCTTGTAGCGGTCTGGCAATACCTGCTTCGGGATTCTGGAAAACTGGACCAAAAGGGGGCGCAGTCGAGGGGGTCACGGAAGGGGACACGAGGGATGGGGTCATGCGTGTGGGCCGTCTCGTGTGAGGCCGTCTGGATTGCCGCCGAGGGCGGGTTAGTCTTATGCTTCAGTCCGCAACCTTGGGGCCCCAGAGGGTCCGGTCAGCCTCCCACTCGAGTGGACTACTATTTTTAGTAGAAAAATAATAAATTTCCCAACTCGTGTGGGCACTGGTAGTGGGGCCGCCTGGCCAGGCCTCTTGACTCTTGGGGATTTCAACCAATGGGCTTTCGAACAGTTTTGGGCTATTTTTAGTACATTTCACTTTCTATTCTGCCCTTGGCCCTCCCCCAACTATAACTTCATACGCATACATTCATACATATTTACCCACCTCTGACCTGACAACTTAATTCATACTCTCCTTACCTCCGTCAAGACTGCCATCGCAGAATGTCTACGCAGGCGTGCAGATGAGAAGCGACCAAATTGGGCCAACCAGCAAACATGTACGAGTGTTGCTACAACCATAATCACTATCACCTGTTGGGAAGTCGGTAACTTTTTAACGGCTTTCGATTCAAGGATAATTAAAGGCGGATTGGGCAACTATGCGCGTGTATCCATGGTTGTGTATTTGTGTGTCTTTCATACTGTAGGGTCTATGTGTGTGTGTGTGTGTGTATGTGTGCCTGCATGTATATGCCTGCGTACACAGGCCGTCCATGTGTGCCTGTAGGCCTGCACACAAACGCACTTGCATGGCCTACATGTCGGATGACGCAGATGTGATTTTAACGGAAGGTGACCAGTGTGGAGGAGAGATTGTAAAATTTGCAAGTTTTACTACATAAACCCCCACTCTTCACCTCCTCTTGTTCCACCGGCCGTCCTTTCGAAACGCTGTATCTGGTAAAATGTAAAGTCTACAATAAAGAAGTGTCTTGCCTAATGCGCATTTGCATGCGCACGTATGTGAATGTGGGATTTGGGGAGTGGGAGTGGGAGTGGGAGTGGGAGTGGGATTGGGGTGCGGTGGTGTGGTGTGGCAGGGAGGAGGGGAGGATGGAAGGAGGAGGTCGGGGCGCTGTTCCAGTTGATGCAGAAGGCAATGCAAGGAAAGCAAATGAAATGCAGAAATAGCAGATTCGCTGAAGCCGTCATTTTCTTCAGCACTTGGTGCCATGTGGCAGACGAGACCCTTGGCACTTGGACCGACAAGGTTTTGGCGCAGTTTCACTTTGCGTCTTCCGCAAGCAAATTATATCCCTTGGCCCAACAAACTCAGTCCACCTGATGCCAACAGGCGCTGATTTCGGATGGGCTTCAGATCAGTTATGGGGTAGCGGGCAAAGCCGAGGGCGCTTGACCTGAAAAGTGACATTTGGCAAATTGAGAAGCTGGTTAAGATTTCCCCAAGCGTGGATGCTTATAATTCGTCTCCTCGCTTGTATGCACAATCTGACTAAAAGCCAAATATCGCAAGTCAGATCCATGCTAAGCACATGATTTTCCACTTTGGGTTCAAGTTGGATCGAGAAATTGCAGCAAGCTCGAGGCTGTCTGTCCTGCTGATTCGTCAAAGGTTAATCTCAAACTTCATGCTGGCGGTAAATCTGCTGCCTAAGATAGTTCGCTAATTCGTGCGAACTATACTTTCCACGCTCAGATTCAGCTAGTCCTGAGACTCAACTTTTCAGAAGCGGAAACTATCCACGAACAGAGGTTGATTGACCTTGTTTTCGCAACATGGTCATGTTGGTAGGAAGACTTAGAGGAACACACATTGTCCGGAGTCCATTGTATGCATCATCATTTCCAAAGTTGAACCGTGGGCTTGGTATATTCCCAAACGTTTCACCGGCATCGTCAGTCCGTATCGCCATTCTTAGCACCATACAACAACTCGTCTTGTCTCTTTGACGAGTTGTTGTATGGTGCCGAAAATGGCAATAATTACTGACGATGCCGGTGAAATGTTTGGGAAGGTACCAAGAGATGTTTATAGGAAGCCAACATATGTTGGCTCTTTACTTAATTTTCTTTCCAATCATAATTACAA